GACGAAACGTCAGGAAGAAATTCCGATAGACCACGGCTTCAAAGCCCGGAAAACATTCCTAAATGTAATCTGACCGGCCGTGAAAGCCTTCATAGTATAACCATAATATCTCTAACCACACTTGCATATACGTCATACGGCAAAAAAACTCAATAATAATTATCAATATGACTTTTTGATCATTACGACTTAGTACATATACCAAGCCAGAATGTCGTAATTGAAATATTTTTAATCAGATACGCCAATATGACTTGGTAATTATCAATACGACTTTTTGACCTAGTAACTGGTAGATTTTTGCAGATAGGACATATAATCATTGAAAACCCGTATTCTAATGATGATACGACTTCCAGACCTTGTCTGGGAAGTAAAACAAACTCTGTTATACCAGTATTCTGCATAAGCTGAAAAAGTGAAAAATTGCAGATACGACTTCTTGTCTTAGCAGGGCAGTTTTTTAGTGCGATATCCATGCGAGTCCATTATTTCTGTTGGTGTTAAACTTTCGAAAAATAGTATCATATAAAATTTGTTGACGCACAAAGTGCGCACATTTAAACAATATATTATATGATACAGAGTGTCTCAGAAAAGTGAGGCAAGATGAAAGTGTATTTTTTTCCACGTTTTCCACCCAAAATCGATAATAAGCGATCCAGTGGCGATTTTGCGTAAACTAATAACAAATATAAATCCAGGCCCATATCCGAGTGTGGAACTCCGTCTCCCTTCACACTCAAGCCGTGATTGGTATGAACGACTTCGAGCTGGCCATTTGCTGCCTGTCGTTTTCCCGAGCCGATGGAGGCTCCCTGTTGGTGGCCGTGGACGATGCCCCCGACCACAGCATCTCAGTCTGGGACTGGCAAAAGGGCGAAAACGGCTACAAAATCACCGAAACCAAGGCAAGTCCCCCCATTTTCACTTGCCCCAAATCGCCCATCATTTCCCCCATTTTCAGTGTTCGGTCGATACAATCGTGGCCGCCGAGTTCCACCCTCTGGAACGGAACACCATCGTCACTTGCGGCAAATCGCACATCGCCTTTTGGTCGCTGGATGCCGGAGGGATGTTGTACAAGCGAATGGGGATCTTCGAGACGCGAGACAAGCCCAAATATGTTACTTGTGTGGCCTTTTTGCAAACTGGGGAAACCATCACTGGTAAGGCGACTGGATTGGCTCGGGGTTTGGTAGGGAATTTTGGACAATTCCAGGCGATTCGAATGGTTCTTTGGCGATTTGGGGCCGCGGCACCAACACTCTGTGGAAACTGATGAAGAACGTGCATGATGGGGGCATTTTCTCGATTTGCGTGCTCAAGGATGGTAGTGTCATCACCGGAGGCGGCAAAGACAGCAAAATTATTCAGTTCGACCACAATCTGAGCCGAACTGGGGTGGTTAGCCAGGTGGGCGTGCGTGAGTCGCCCTCAATTATCACTAATTCCCAGTGCTTGTAGATTGCCCACCACTATGGAGGAGTGCGAGTGATTTCCGAAGGAAGGGGCTCTCAACTTCTACTGGGCACGACCAGGAATTGCATCCTAAATGGCAACCCCGAAATGGGCTTTCAGCCCATTGTTTTAGGTAGTTTTGGGCAAAGTTGGGCGCAAATTTATTGGATTTTATGAGCTGTTTGGTTGCAGGTCACAGCGATGATCTTTGGGGGCTAGCGCCCCATCCCAGCATCCCGCAATTTGCTACTGTGGGCTTTGATCGAGTGCTCCAGCTATGGGAGTCCATGTCTCATAGCATTTTATGGAGCAAAGACATTGGGGTAAGCACTTTTTGTCTAAAGGCTCTTTTGGAGCCGATACGCTCTCTAGGAAACCCCGGGTTGTTTCTCTAAGCCCAAACCTATGAACTTCTTGGAGTATCGAGCTCTATTTTGTTCTCTCTATTTAACAACAGGAAAAAGCGCACTTTTCTCTTTCAAACAATCACTAAAATCGAATTAGTCGTTTTGAAGTTGCAGCGGTTTAAATGATTACACTTTCAATGGCTGTCCCTAGTCGCTTAAACGACTAGGTTTTAGAGACATTTTTTCACTCACAATCTTTGTTAGCTAGTGCTTTTATCAATTGATTCTTTTAATCATTTTAGACAGAAATTCCGCTTTTATAATCAAGGAATTTTTAATTTTCGGGACATTTTTCGTTAAATTTCTCGAATTTTTTGAATCAAGGACTGGAAAACAACGTAACGGGTTGAGCTAAAGAGCCACAAAATCAATGATTTGCAGAAGAAAGCTTGTTGGATAAGTGTTGAAAATGTTAGTGTTGCGCGATTTTCGATCGTGCATCGGGAATTTTTTTTGAAGAAAAAGCGGAAAAGGTAGTTTTTACGTCTTGAGGTTTTGCAGACATTTTTCCAAAGTTACGCTATGCCTCAGCTAGTCCACCATTTTATAGAGCAAGTTTTCCACCATTTTATAGAGCAAGATCGGTTTTAGAAGAACGAAAATTTTAATTTTTGGGACATTTTTGGCCAAATTTTTGGTTTTTTTTTTAAATAAAGGACTGGAAGCGCGTTTAATCTGAGCGCATTTGGACGGCATGTTTTCAAAATTTATTGTACTACTCTGACTTGTTGAACTGGAGAATCCAGTATTCTTCGGTTCGACAGAGCAAAGACGGCTTAATGAGTGCTCAAAATTTCAATGCGGTGGAATTTTGGATTATACCTTGGGAATTTTTCGAAAATCAAGCTGCAAAAGTCGTTTTTAGTTCTTGAGGTTTTGCAGCCATTTTATTGAAGTCACTCTTCCTTAACTAGTGCCGATAGAGGACATTTTTTTGTATCATTTAGAGAATGAAGTTGGTTTCATAAGCACGGGAATTTTAATTTTTGGGAAATTTTTGGCAAAATTTTCCAAATTTTTTGAATAAAAGACTGGAAAGCGTGTTTTACCTCAGCGTGTATGGGCGGCAGATGTCAAAAGCATATTGCTCCCGTAACGGGTTGGGGTAAAGAGCCACAAAATCTGCGATTTGCAGAAGAAAGCTTGTTGGATAAATGCTGAAAATCTCGATGTTGCGTGATTTTCGATCATGCCTCGGGAATTTTTTGAAGAACAATCGGCAAAAGTAGTTTTTAGGTCCTGAGGTTTTACAGACATTTTTTTAAAGTCACACTCTGCCTCAGCTAGTTCATTTACGGATTGAGTTTTTCATCATTTTATAGCGCAAGGTCGGTTTTGTAACCACGGATATTTTCATTTTTGGAACATTTTTGCCCAAATTTAGGGAATTTTTTGATTAAAGGACTGGAAAGCGCGTTTTATCTCGGAGCGTTTGGCCGGCAGATTAAAAAAAATGTTGCCACTCTAACCGGTTGAGCTAAAGAGCCATACAATCTAATAATGTGCAGAATTTGTTGCGCAATTTTCAGTCGTGCCTCGGGAATTTTTTGAAGAAAAGCGGAAAAGGTAGTTTTTAGGTCCTGAGGTTTTGCAGACATTTTTTCAAAGTCACACTCTGTCTCAGTTAGTTCTTTTACGGAGTGAGTTTTTCCACCATTTTATAGAGCAAGGTCAGTTATAAAACGACGGAAATTTTCGTTTTTAGGACATTTTTGGCCAAATTTTGTAAATTTTTTGAATAAAGGAGTTGAAAGCGCGTTTTATTTCAGTGAATTTGGACAGCAAGTTTTCTTCAGTTCTAGAGAGTAGGTAAAGTCTGCTTAATGGGTGCTCAACATTTCAATGCAGTGCGATTTTGGATAATACCTTCGGAATTTTTTGAAGATCAAGCTGCAAAAGTCGTTTTTAGTTAGCGAGGTTTTGCATCCATTTTTCGAAAGTCACACTCTTCCTTAACTAGTGCCTTTAGAGCACAATTTTTGGATCATTTCATAGAATGAACTTGGTTTTATAAGCACGGGAATTTTAATTTTTGGGACATTTTTGATAAAATTTTCGGAATTTTTTAATAAAGGAGTGGAAAGCTCGTTTTATTTGAGCGCATTTGGACGGCATGTTTTCAAAAATTTATTGCCTTCTAACGGGTTGAACTGGAGAGCCAAATATATTTCTATTTTACAGAACAAAGTATCCTTAATAACGGCGCAAAATATAAATGTTGCGCCGTTTTCAATCCTGTCCCGGGATTTTTTTGAGGACGGCAAAAATAGTGTTTTGTATACATTTTTTCACAGTCAAACTCTTTCTTAACCGGTGCTTTTAGAGCTCATTTTTTTGCACCATTTTATAGGTTTGGTTGGTTTCTTAGGCGTGAAAAATGCTTAATTTTGGGACACTTTTGGGCATATTTCAGCAATTTTTTGACTACAAGAATCCATTCCATCCATGTGCTTTGTTGCAGGAACAAGCTCAGAGCGTGGCCTTTTCCCAGGACGGTGCCGTCATCCTAGTGGGTTGCGTGAATGGAAAGTGGATGATTTTCGACTCCCAAACGCGCGAGCTGTTAGGTAAGTTGTCTTCTAGATCCGCATCTAGAGTGGACTATTGATGGCATTGCAAATTGACCCAAAGGCCACCATACGGACGGTAACGAGCCTATTCAGGTGATCAGTTTTTCTCCGGATGGAAGCATGGTGGCGTTGGGTTCCAGAGACAATCACATCTACGTCTACCAGGTGTCTGATGATGGCATGAAGTATAGCCGAGTGGGGAAATGTTCTGGACATTCCAGCTTTATCACTCATGTGGACTGGGCGGAAGACAACCAAACTTTGAGGAGCAACTCTGGGGACTATGAGCTCTTGTTCTGTAAGCTGGTGTTTGATTTGCAGACGGTTTTTTGTGTTTTCTGACCGGCGATGTGGTTGATTAGGGAACGCAGGAACTTGCAGGCAAATTCCCCAGGCCAGCTTGATGCGGGATGTGGAATGGTCGAGCAACACTTGCACGTTGACGTTCACCACTGTGGGAATTTGGCCGGAAAACGCCGATGGTTCGGATGTGAATTTCTGCGATCGCAGTCACGACAGGAAACTGCTGGTCTCGGCAGACGATTTCGGCAAAGTCAAACTCTTCAGCTACCCGGTCTGCCAGCCAAAGGTAAGTCACTGTGAGGAAAAACTCCTATTTTTTCAAACATTGGTTTCCTCTTCGCAGTCTCTTTGTCACACCTACTCAGGACACAGCAGCCACGTGACTGCAGTGAGTTTCCTGCAGGACGATTCCCGAGTGGTTTCTACGGGGGGACGAGATACCGCCGTCCTGCAATGGACAGTTTCCTAAAAATGTCCCGACCTTTTCCAGCTGAGTCTGTCCGCACGAGGCCTTATTTCTGTATTGGAATTTACACTAGATCTATATGTATAAATCTAAGATTAAATTATTCTGCGACTGTTCCACCTGCTACTCTAAGGATCTTTTAATTAACCGAAATTGTGCCACTGTTATATTTTATGACATTATATTATATTTTTATTAAAAGCGAAAACTCTTGTAGTCACTTAGTTTTGTTTCAACTTATCTACTTTTTAATCATACTTGTGTATTATTTAGTTCCAGAACTCTGTTTATGTGATAATACAAATTATGTCCTACTTTTTGCCTTTTTTGTCTTTCACATTACATTAGAAAGAAAGTTTACACACAAACAATCCCACATATTTTTCTTAGATTTTAATGTTTTTTATTAAATATGTATAATTTTTAATTAGTCTTAAAGATGTTAATGCATTTTCTTCTATTGGGCTTATTTATGATGTTATTTTTTTCAGCTGGAATCTAGATCAGCCATCGTAGCAGGAAGATAGCTTCTGAAGAAGCTAAAAAACTTTAACTAATACTGAAAATTTCACTCAAATTGTTTAAAATCCTGATTTTTTCCAATTGTGTAAATGATGGATGCGAAATGAATTAGACTAAAGTACAGCATACAGTCTTAATTTTTTCCAACCATGTAAATGATGGATCAAAATTGAACATTTGCCCTCAAGTGCACGCTCTTTTTAAAAATTCATACCTGTCAATTCAAAGCAGGTAACAACATGGAATTTGAATTACCCTATAGAAGAAATGTGAAGCAAAAAACCCTCAAATATTGACTTAAATCGGACAAAGACCTGATTTTTTTCCAACCATATAGATGCTTGGTCCTAACTGAACAATTCCACTCAAGTGTACAATGTTCTACAAAAATTCGCAAGTTTCAATCTAGAGAAAGCAGCAATTTGAAATTTG